CAATTTAAAAATTTCAATCAAAGATAACGCATGTTATTTTAAAAGTCAAATTTATTGCCCTGCCGGATTGGGCTCCGTTGGTTGAGCATTGTGTCATGTAGCAGGAGGTTACTGGTTTGATTCCCGATCAGGGCACTTGCCTGGGTTGTGGGTTGATCCCCAGTAGGGGCATGCAGAAGAAAACTGATCGATGTTTCTTTCTCATCAATGTTTCTATCTCTCTCTCCCTCGCCATTTCTCTCTCTGAAATAAATGAAAACATTATTTTTTAAAAAGTCAAATTTAGCCCTGACCGGTTTGGCTCAATGGATAGAGTGTCAGCCTGCGGACTGAAAGGTCCCAGGTTCTATTCCGGTCAAGGGCATGTACCTTGGTTGCGGGTACATCCCCAGTAGGGGGTGTGCAGGAGGCAACTGATGGATGTTTCTCTCTTATCTATGTTTCTTACTCTCTATCCCTCTATCTTCTTCTCTAAAAAAATCAATAAAATATTTTTTTTTAAAAGTCAGTTTTATCAAATTTGCTGCGATGAGCTGGTGCTTTTAATTCTTTTGTCTGTTTCTTAAGAAATGTACTTTTCTCATAGCACATTTTGAAATTATAACCTATGTACTCTTATTTCTTGATCTGTGGATTTTTAGTGATTGGTACCTTCCCCTTGTGATGGATAAGATGTAGCTTTCTTACTATCCCTTTTCCTTGCCTCTCCTGATGTAATTAGCTGTTTTTAGTCTCTGCTAAGTGATTATACTATGACTAGAGGCTCAGTGCACAAAAATTTGTGCACTCGGCAGGGGGTCCCTCAGCCCGGCCTGTGCCCATTTTCAGTCCAGGACCCCTTGGGGGATGTCCACCTGTCGACTTAGGCCCACTCCCTGGGGGATCAGGCCTAAGCTTGCAGTCAAACATCCTTCTGGCAGCCAGGGAGCCCTTGGGGGGATGTCCGACTAAAGGCTTAGGCCCCCAAGGGATCGGGCCTAAACTGTTAGTTGGACATTCTTAGTGCTGCCACAGAAGTGGGAGAGGCTCCTGCCACCACCTCTGCACTGGCCAGCCATGAGCCAGCTTCTGGCTGAGTGGCACTACTCAGTCTGACCTAAACCCTAGAGATTAGTACTTCATTTTACAACTTTTTCTCAGTTTATAGGCAGCAGCAAACTCAGACCACACAGTCGGGTGTGCAAGAAATGTTGCTTTCTTTATTGTTTAGTAACCAAACCTAACTTCAGCCTCAGCCCCCATTCTGCCAAGTGAAAAAACAAAAACAAAATATTATTTAACTTAGGTTCCCCACCCCTTCTCTGGAGTTGTACTTCCATGTCAGACAGTTTATATCTCAGGCAGAGGTGCCAAAGAACCAAGCAGGGTCAAGAACATGTGGACCTCAGTCTTCTGTCTGGGCTGGTCCCCACCCAGCTGCCCTTGACCCTCACCTCAGAGCTCAAGTCCATGCTGATCCCTGTTATATTCTCCTCATCTGGGCCTTGAGGCCTCTTGAGTCCAATTCGCTCTCTTCATCCCTCCCTGCCACCTTCTCTCTCTCACACAAAGAGGTATTGGGCTTTCTGGGTTGAGGTCCTCTGACACCTCCTCAGCCCCGTTGCACAGACACCATCTTGGCGCCTGGGTCATGGCCACAACGCTGTGTGGCTGCTCTCAGACCCTCCGTCTCCTGCTGCCTTAGGGAGTGACTCAGCGGGAGGGGAGGGTCACAGTGCTTTTTACATGGCCGCCAACAAACACTCAGTGTTCCTTCCCTCTAGTCCTCCTTCTCCTCCTCACCCCAGTCTAGGCACGTCTATGTGCAGGGCAGGGGAGGGTGGGAGGCAGGAGTGTCTCTGACCCAGCACACAGGCTTCCAGATCCACTGCTCCCCCAGGAGGCCTTCACGCTCTGGACCTTGACACCCAGAACCTGTCCCCTCTCAGCTGCAGGTCTTTGCCCACAGTGGTCAAGTCTGTTTAGAGCAGTGGTTCTCAACCTTGGCTGCACATTAGAATCACCTGGGAATCTTTTTAAAATTCTGATTTCTGGGCCTCATCCTCCAGAAATTCTGTTTCTTTGTTACTAATGTTGTGGCCCTACCCTATAACAAAGAAACAGAATTTCCAGAGGATGAGGCCCAGAAATCAGGATTTAAAAAAGATTCCCAGGTGATTCTAATGTGCAGCCAAGGTTGAGAACCACTGGTTTAGAGTCTTGAGGTCAAGAAGTGCCTCTTTGTTCTCTGCTTTCTGGAGGCGGTCAGCGTGGAACATTCCTGCCTGGGTTGGGGAGGGGTCTCTGGGTGTTAAGAATACCAGGAGGGGGAGCAAAGACTCCTCCTAGAACTCCGAGAGGGGAAAGGCAGCACCCCCTCACCTCTAACCCCAGGACGTTTCTTTAAAAGCAGAAGCCTGGTCCCGTGCAGGGGCCTGTGCTGGCTGCCTCAGTTTCTCAGAGACAAAGAATTTGATGAACGTCTTTTCCCCACTGGAGTAGCTGCTTCATTTGTTCATTCTCACGTTTTTCATTAGCTGCTAAATCGCCCCTGTGGCTGCAAACCTGTTGTGCCTGACTCAGCCAGTGGGGAGCTATGGGAGCTGTGCAGGGACAGGGGAAGGGGGAGGGGGGCCCGGCCTGCAGGGAGGGTCAGTGGTTCCTACCAGGCGGTCTCAGAAGATGTGGTTTAGGTTAGGTCCTGTCCTTTGGCGACTTTAGGAGGGGAGGCCAAGTCCTCCGCTCCCCATTTTGACTCAGGGGCGGAAGTTCTCCTTGCTCTCTGGCCTCATAACTCAGTGGATCATGGTAGGATGCGGCAGGCAGGCGGCTTCTGCGGCTGCACACAGGCGCGGGCAGGTGGCTTCCGCGGCTGCACATGGGCACCAGCCTGTGGTTTCTGCGCTGCACACGTCGTGGGCAGGCGGGCTTCTACGGCTGCACATGGGCGCCGGCCCCTGGTTTCTGTGGCTGCACATGGGCACGGGCAGGCGGCTTCTGTGGCTGCACATGGGCGCCAGCCTTGCGCCTGGTACCTGATCAGGTCCACGGGCGCGGTAGCGGCTTCCGGTCTTGCGCACGGGGCCGGCTGCGCCTTGGACCCGATGGTCAACAGGCGACGGCGGGTGGCTTCTGGGCTGCTTCCTGGCGCTGCACATGCCAACTACAGCTGCACATGCCATGG